GTAGTGCAAAAGGCCTGCTGCACATATCGTTGGAATGAACTTCAATATATTGGCTGCAGTGCATGAATGGAAGCATCGAAGTCGTCTTGCGTTGCATTTGCCTGGTTATTTAATCCGTACGTGCTTGTGGGCGTACGAATAAAAGTCCGTAGCGCGTCCGTGCATATAAAAGCGCATATAAAGCGCATACAAAATCGCACAATGCATGTATCGAGTCGCATGGTAAGCTCTCATCATTTTTACAAGCGAATATTGAGAAGAGATAATGTCCTTATGCATAGCCATTTGGTGTTCATTCAAGGAGAAAAATTTTTACATTTTCTTTGATTTAATTTCTTTTTTTCTTTGTCTTTGCTTTATATATATATATATATATATATTTCTGTGGCAGGGTTATTCCCTACAATTCATGTTATTGTTGTGTTTTGTTGTCCTTGTAGTTTTCCTCATGGTCATATTTTATTTCAATACACTTATTGTTCCAATTGCATAATTTATATGGAAATGTTCAACTTGAGTTCATTCATTAGACTTTCCCTTGCTTCGATCCGAATATATTTTGTCACAATAGATTAAAAAGCATTTTGGGAATTAAATTTGTTGTTATTGAATCCTTCGTTATAGAGAATGCAATGAAATGAATATAAAATTGTTTGCGAACGAAAATCTCCGAATATCTTTTAAGGATTGTAATGCGATGTGACAGTTTATTTGCACAAATTTTTATTAATGCATTGAACCAAATGACATCGTAAACGATTTAGTATTTGGTATTTTATTTCGAATATAAATAATTTATAGAATAAATTGCATCTACTAAATAATGTTTGTGTATGTGATATATATATATATATATATAGCTATATGTATTTTGTTTTAAAACACTTTTAAGATATTTTAATCTAATTGCTTTGCTTGAGTTACAAAAGTTACAAAGTCGTTGGCAATAGATTATGATTTCTTGATGTCAACAAAATCATAACAAAAACGAGGATTAAATAATAAATTAAAAGAATTTTTTTAAATTAAAGAAATAAATTAATTATAAATGGCTTTGGAAATTCATCAAATGGTAGAGTTATTGACTATATAAAAGCTATAATTTAAACGCTGTAATAATTTAATTACTCTAGAAATTAGAAATGTTTCAAATATTACCTATTCTACTTTCTGATTCAGTATCATTTTTCGGAGTATCAGCGACCTGTGCGATATTTCCACGACACTCCCTGCCTTTCATCGATATCAATATGATAAAATATAAGCGAAAGTAATAAAGAAACGAAAAGGAAAGAAATAATAAAAAAACCATTATCTAAGAACAACATTACATAAAAAAAAAAAATAATTTTTATACTTAATAAAAAATACATCTATGTGTATACTGAAGATAATAACAAAGATTTATTTAAAAAAGAAACAACTTATTATTATTAGAAAAGCCAACAAAGAAGATTAAGTTGTTCTTTCTATCTGGAAACTCTATTATTAATAAGTTATCGGCTGACAAGTCCTTAGAATTACCAATAAAACAACTTTTTGACAAAATTTGTCTTTACTCATCAACATAGTCTCCTTCCAGAGTTACTCAATAATTTTGTCTAATATTTCGATATATTTTTTGTGTAATTATATATCTTTGGCCTTAGTCTTAGTTTCGACGAAATTTCGACGAGTTTTTCATCGGAGCTAAATGTTTTTACCTTTAGCATTTTTTTGTAGTCTGCAAAGAGCTTGTGATTACTGGGGGCCAAGTACAGTAAACACAGTAAGTAAGAAAGCAATTTATAGTGTAATTTGGACATGGTACCCAAGAAATTATAGTTAATAAGTCTTAGCTCGGTGGTTTTCGGTGACTTTTTTATCGGAGAAAAATTTCTTTACCTGTAGCATGTTTTGTGGTCTCCAAAGAGCTTGTGATTAGTGGGGGCCAAATATAGTGAATACGGTGAATTAGAAAGCAATTTATGGCGTAATTAATGTAATTTGGACATGGTAGTCAACGATTTATGACTCGGTCCATATTTTTGGCAAAAGAGAAGTTATTTTTTCCTTATGTGGAACCATTTTTTCACCATTTCGTACTGAAAACGCATAGCGTCATATAGCGATTAGTATTGGTCTATTTGAATGTAGTCGTTGAACAAAATCACACGCGAATCCCAAATTAAGCATGATATAGCCTTGCGAACTATCTGTTGGTTTTTAGTCGCTTTGGGTGCTAAACATCGCCTATTGTCCATTCAGATGACTTCCGAATAGACTTTGGAGTGAAGTGGTAGATTCAAATTTCGTCCATTGTTACATAACGGCACAAAATGTCCTTCTTATCTTATCTTATCCTTAAGTATCTTCAGAAAGCTCTCAGAATCATCAACACGTTGTTGTTTTGTCAACTGGTCAAAAGAGTCTTTATCATACACAAATGTCCCTTCGAAATTAAGCCAACACATTCCTTTGAAATATTTAAAAGATATCAGTTACCTTTTGTAACTTCACTCTACAGTTTGTAGCGCCTTCGGCATCATCTGATCTAATATCTCTTCAAATCCGTTCCCATAGAAAATCTTCCTTACTCTCTGACCTCTAACGCCGCTTTTAGCGTGATTACTGGCTTCTATTTTTAAAATAAGTATGTTTAAAAGTTATTTAAGTTGAAAACATGTAGTGAAATGTTGTTAATATTTAAAATTATATAAAAAATTCGTTCACATAATTTTTATGTAGCATTATTTAATAATTTTCTTTTTTCTGTTTAAAATGTAATGTAACTATTTGTAAACATTTCTTTTAAATTATTTATAATACATAATGCAAATACATTTTCTATGAATTTTCAATTCATACAAAGGAATTTCATTCCGTATTTTACTATGTGAAAATATTTTATAGTATCTCGTTGTGCATTCTTAAGTACATTTTAACTTGAATTGGGTGAGAATATCTGAATAAATAAATCCTGAAATATATGTAACAATGACAATGAACTGCAGGATTCTTACCCACATATAATAAGGACAGAAAATTTCATTTAAAGGATATTGTACCGACGCAATTATTACATTAAGTTCTATTATTCTATTGCCACCCACACTCATTGCGTGCAGTTTTTATTTTATCATATGATTCCGAAAAATTTAATATGTAGGAAACTATAAAATTTTTATGTATTTTTTAGATATATTTGTTTAAGGTAATATAATATTAAAACATTGCCAAATTCCGGCATTGTTTACATTGACGTCACCAAAGCTCATTCGATGTCCAGTGCGCGAAAGCAAAGGTAGATGCTGTGTCTGTGAGGATTTTGTATTGTTTGCCTTACGCCATGGGGTCAACGGAAGAAATTCTTTCTTCATGCATCACTGTGAATTCACAGCTATTTTCGTTCTGTTTACCTTTGAAAGGACATCCATTGGACATTCATTCAACTGGCATTTATATGCATAAAAACACAGATACAGATATTCAGTTGGTATACTAAAAGAAAAAAGTTGAAATGAAAACAACGGCAGATACAATCGAAATATGCTTAACTGCACAGTATATACTGTAAACTTGAAGGTCTTCTGTGTAATTGGGCGATAGGGTTTCCAGTGGTTATACTTCTGGAACTTTTTCGTTTTGCATAAAAACATAAAATTCAGGGATTTCGATGCGCTTTCAATATATATTTAAAAATTTACATTATTTTACATGTTAGATAAATTATTTTATTGCTTTTAATATTTTTTAATACAATGTGTATATAAATGTAGTGCAATTGTATCTTTATTAAAAAATATTAATTTATATGAGTATGAAGTATTATTTTTCTGGCTAAGCTTATAGTGTGGACAAGAAAACAATAAGTAATAATTAAGGATCTGTCATATAGTCAATTAAACTGTATTCAATTTCGAATTGCTGAAATTTTTGAATTGAATTAAATAATGCGTGGATATCTCGCTCAGTAACAAATAATATTTTAGCTCGTTGTAATAAAATTGAATACACAAATCATCAAAAAAAATTTGGTGAAATTCAGAGCTGGTTCTTACTGCAGTGAAACCACCAAAAACAATCCTGTTCAAATTTTTAGCATTTTCGAAACCGAAACTAACAAATATCTTTTTGGATAACGCATTATTCTTCATTCTCAAGGCATAACCAAGCCAGCGATAATACTGGATATTAATTCGCTGAACTATGTCAATCGAATGCAGTAGTCATCACCAACTCGTAGGAAACCAAAAATATTATGAAGAATTTTTGTCTCCCAAACTCTCAATCCATGCTTCTGCACTATGGATGAGTGACCTAGATAGCTAAAGTTTTATCTATCAAGACAGAGTTCAACATGCAAATTTCCTACTAAGCTCATTGTAGCACCTATTGGTAATGTTGATTCATCGTCTGATATCCAGGCTAGCATCGTTGTTAGTTATTACGGCGGTGTTAAGGTAGATGAAATCCTTGTTGACAGATTCGAAAGTATAATCGCCACTCACTATGTTAGTGTCCGAGAAAACCACATTTCTATTAGTAGCCGATATATACTTCGTTTTGTCCTCATTCATCGATAAGCCCCTATTCACAGATTCCTTTTCGATATCAGCAAAGGCAGCTGTAATATTATACTTGTTATACACAATAATGCCAATGTTGTCGACGTATTAAAGAAAAAATAAACATAAATTTAATTTCTTTTCAATTCCATATCTATGGAATTTGTTATCAATTTCTTTTAATTATAAATTTAACTCACATAACTATTTGGGAAAATATATAGATACCATAATATTATCAAATCTCTGTAATTAATAATATTTTATAGATTTAAGTTTTTTAAAAAAGTTTATAGTCCTATCACTAAATTATTATATACTTATTTTTGAAATTTTTTTTTTTTTTTTGCACTACTGAGTGAATAACTCTCGTCCTTTTCAGTCAAATGAAAAAGTTAAAATAAATCATAATAATCCACTTAATTTTATTTACTTTTTCTTTTTTTTTTGCAGGCGTTGATGGTGTCACAACAGTTGCTGTAAAAACTTTGAAGGAAAATGCAGCTGAAGTTGAGAAGAAGGACCTATTATCCGAACTTGAGGTAAGCAAAGCTGTTTTAAATGTGCATGCAAAAGATTAATTAATATAAATTTGAGTCCGAATGTAAATGAAAAGAATGGTGAACGCTGCACACTGTACACTGCAAAATGAAATATGAATGGATTTCTTTTTTCATCTTTTGGGATAGATAAACTGAAATAAGATTTTTTAAGCTTCAAGTATTGCAACAAAAGCTTCATAATTCATTTTTATGACAGTCAACCTTTTCTACTTTTCGCCATTGCAATTTCTTTGCAATTAAGTTTGGTTACTTGAGGCAGCGTGAGCAGTAGTTTAGTCCTGTGTGCGTCCCCTGAGAATTTAAGATTACTTATCTGTCAGAATGTCATTAACACTTTTCAGTTAGTTTCAGTTAGCCAAGAACCACGTTGGCCAGCAGCACAGCAACACAGCAACACAGCAGCACAGCAACACTGTTGCAAAATCATATACTCTTGCCATTGGACTTCCGATCCCACTGTACTTCGCAACAGTGTCCGTTTCTATAGAGTACAGTGTACACTGCGATTTATTTGCGTGGTTCTGATTTTTCAGTAGCTCAGTCGCTCAGTGGTATGTTAGTGTATTAGTGTGTGAATGCATTTGCGTTTACTGTACTTGAGTGTATGTGTGCAAGTACATACTTACACAAAATGAAAATTAAAGAATACGAAAAAAAGATAAAAAAAAAGAAATACCAACAAAACCATTTTCGGAACTTAAGTTGCCAAGCTGACGACTAACTTCATTGTTATTTCTGTTGTGTTTGGATGGATGATGCAAAAGTTTTATAAATTGAAAATTAACGATGCTGAAAACTTTGCAAGTTTTTTTCCCGCATTTTATTTATTTTTGTAACGACTTTCAGACTTAAGTACGACTAAGGCTTTAGTTCAAATTTTTTCCAACATTTCAACTGATTTCTTAGCGTTTTATCTAAGCTTTGGATTTTATTCATATGCAAAGAAGACACATTGCTTTTCTTAACATTTCTTCTTCTTGCTTGTTTTTTGTTTTTTGTTGTTTTCTTTATTTACCTAATTTTTATTTATAATGGAACTTTTAAAATAAATTTGAAAGCTGCTTAGAGCCAAATGTGAAATTCAATTACCTTCAGCTGCATTCGATGGTTGCGAAAATCCATTCCGCAAATATGTCTGCTCCATAATGTTCCCTCATTTTCTTATGATTTCATTTTAATTCATTTCCCATTCTGCTTTCCCTTCTGTTTCCTCTCACCGTTGTACATAGCATAACTTTGGCAATTAAATTTTATTACAAATCGAAAATAAATATGCGCAACAGTCAAAAACATCAACCGCAGAAACGGCTAAGACACCAGCTATTTTTACCATTTGTAACGGGAACCATATGCACACCACACTCCTACAATCCCCACGCACTACTACATGTCTACTATTAAATAATTTCACTACTTCAGTGCAGTGTAAAATGCCATAATCGACAAAATCCAAACAATGAAAAGGAATTCTGCCGTTGCCGGTGCCGCTGCCGCTACCGCTGCCACAGTTTGTTGTGGTTATTCGTATTGCTTTTCTTTTTT